TCTCTCTCTCTTTCGTTCTGTGTCTCATTCCCTCTTCGATTACACAACGCAGGGGTATTTGTTCGAATAGTTGGCCAACTATTGACTTTGATAATAATGTCAGAGCTTAAGGAGAAAGTTGGAGCGATGTCGGGGAAGTTAAGCGGCTCGGCTGATCGATAAAGAGCTCGCGTTTGTTGCGTCTTCTAATTTCATAAGCCGCCTCTACCCTCCCCGACCCGCTATACCCCTTTGAGTCACGTCCAAATCGAACAGATATGCGAAATAGTTTCTCCTATCCGCTATACCTGTGATCTATTAATTAACCGTTACGTGGAACCCGTTATGAAATAGGATTAATAGACTGCGGAATTCGACAAAGCATTCGCCGCGTCAGCGTAGAAAATTAAATCTAGGAATTTCATATACCTTCTAAAAATATCATGTTTCGATATTCTGTATGTCCCGGACATATTTTCTATCCTGTGAATGCATGAAATCCATGAAATTACGATAGGAGACGGGTTTAATGGGTCGAGCCGCGTTCTTAAAGACTCCGACGATTTTCCAATAAATCATCGGCTTTAATGAATTTGTCGGTGAGGGAAAATCGTAATGATAGACGGCTATCGGTTTCGTCTCGCTCTCCTCGATGACTTTCAAGAAGAAGGGCGGTCCTCGGGAGAGCGAGCGGTCGGTTTAAAGAGTCGTGACAAATTGAAGTCGATGTCGAAGATTAATCGGGGAAAAGCGTCGTCGGCGAGGCGGCCAGACAGACACTCGGTGATCCCGTTCCGGCGTTACGGGGAATTCGTTCCGTTGACGGAGGCACGCGATAGAGTCCACCCCTCCTTCCCCGCCCCCTCGAGCTTTAGGGGCTCGTGACGCAAACAGGCCGAACCATTGTGCCGCGGCCGGGTATCCAGGGGTCGAAACGAAAAATCCCGTACGGTCGGGCCGCGCGCGCGGGGTGCCGGGGACTTCATTGTCGAGCAATTTATCCCGCATTCATTCCTGCGACCGATACGCTGAATCCTTCCCTGGCCGTTCTCCCGACCCGCAAGGATCCTCCTCAAATCGCTTTTTATTGCGGCTCTTAATTCGACGCGGGTTCACGTTCCTGCGGCTGTTCTCTGGCCTCTTTCGCTCGAGCGAACACGGCAATGTTCCTGGGTTTCCAAATGCCGATGACGATTTTACTTTCCATGGAACTCTTTGATTTCTGGGGTCACTCCCTTTCCTATAATTTCTTACTTATTCCACAAATCACGATAATTACATTTCGTTTATTTTAGTATAACTTACGATATAATGGCAGTTATTATCTTTTTTATTTGCTTGTGATGAATCGAAAAGAGAGTGTTTAAACAAATAGTGTCTTGATTTAATTAGGGGAAAATGGGATACCTTAAAAGAATTTTAAAAATAAGCGGAACAGATTTTTCACATAGTATTTATTTTTTTATCTGAACCATAGATCTTAAATTATATAAAGTAGAAATTGAAATAATATGGTTTTAGAAATGTGAAACAAGTATGAAGCTTCACAGATGCAAGTAACTCTACAAACGTCTTTCTGTTTTGATCCACTGCCGATATATTTCGTAATATCGCAGGCGCCTGAGAGCAAATGGAGCGACGCGATCCGTTGACCCAATACAAGCGAGTGCATCGCCGATACGCGAAGACAATAAATTAGAGATAGGAGCCGCGTATTAATTCGTCGGTGCGGCCCGTGCTATGGCGGGAATTCGGGCCTGATTTATCGGGCAAATAATTCGCCGCTTCATAAACATAGTAACACGCTTCATTAATAATTTCTCGCGGCCGCGAACCCGTGCCGGAATGTTCGCGGCGTTTTCGGACCACTGAAAATCGGATACAAAGACAGCTGCCGCGGTCCCACGCGAGGATCAACCGATCCGACTGAATTAACGCTTGTGCCGCAGATAAAATACAGGATTGTGAAGAGGAGGAAGAATCTTAAAGAAGTGTAAAGAAATGAACAGCATAAACACTGTCCCAGAAGATTTTGATTAAATATTGCATTCCTTAGTTTTCGATAATTAGATTGCCTATTTTTATGCAAAATAAACCGTTTGTAATTTCAATGTAGAAAATGGAATGTTCATTTTCTGTCTAATTATAGAATTTCCTGTCCCTGGAATTAAATAAATAAATAAATAAAATAGAAACGTGTAGCAAAAGTATGATAAAAGTATGAATACATTTGCACGAGTATGCCAATACATTTCGGAAACCAGGAATATTTTTTGGAATGATCCGTCGATGAAACGGCAGATGATTGATGACGTTCGACCAATCTGTGACCCGCTCCGGTTCGTCATTTGACGAAAACAGTGCGAATACAGGCGCAACGAGTATTCGCGTTAATGAACGGTCTGATTAGAAGCGTCTCGCTCCCCTTACCGGGGGAGGTATAATTCGCACCAGCGCGGGCGTACGGCCCTGTGACGCGCTGCATGCCGCATTCCGCATCGTCTGCATCGCAACACGGATGTACAGGCGCCGCAGGAGCCGCAAATTGTAGCCCTGTCCACCCTCCCGGATCCCTGCGCGACCCCAACGATCATAGAGTAATAACAATATCATCGGCGCCGGGGCAACGACCCCGAAATAAATATTTCATCCCTCCCCCAGGTCTCAATTAATGCTTATCAATATTCTATAAGGAAATTAAAGTTTATTTTACTTTGTAGTAAAATTTCGATTTTTTAGCAATCTGCATCCTCGGTTATATTAAATTAAAATTGTATGTCATTGAAATATCTTGAAAAGTGCAGCAATGTTCTGTAAATATTTGTACTTTCTTTTCTATGGTCAAATGTTACCGATTGTGTCCAAAATGAAATATTTTTAAAGGGATGTAGATAAGAGGGATGAATTTACTGTTCGTACTATGAAATGCTTGTGTGTTTTTCATAATTTTTCACAATCTTGTATATATTATGTACCAATGGCGAAATCTTTGGGAAAGAGATGAACGTACCACTTATGGTTGAGCCCGTCGCAAATGTGTCACAGAAGAATTTTGTTTAAGAGCAATAATTTATTCAATTCCAATTACCCAATTTTCTTATAAATACATGAAAATCTAATTTTGATAATAAACCCATAATGTCTGTTTAGAATTTCGAAGTAAAGAAGGGGAAGGGTGAGACCGGTTGATTGTAGTAAATTGAACCGGTGGTAATAAATAATGGCGTAAAGTGGTGTACAATTAATGCGCGTAAAGCTGTCCACGAGTCAGCCGATCTGCAATTATGAATTTTGTCATTTGACGGACCGCGGAGTAATGTAATTTACCCCATAAATAATTCATACGGCCAAGGTTCGTGCGCGGCGATAGCCGGCCGGCTATTATGGTGGACGAACCAGGTGAGAGGGGTTGAATTATGAATATTCAGCGGAGCTCGCACGTCGTATGTTTCACTCCGCTGCCCGTTATTAATCCCCCTGATACACGCGAAATTCACTGCGCCATGGGAGAAAATTCGCCTAAATTTTATCAAATAAGAAACCTCTGAAATTTGAGAAAAAACAGATTATTCGTGTGTATGGAACGTCGTTTGCTTCTGAACTTTGCTATTTCCAATCGAGAAACAATCTATCCTGTTTTGTCTCATCGTTTGTTATTATAAATCAGATTGAAGATGGAAAAGTTTGAAGAATATCAATTAGGATTTTTATGCAGAATGTAATAGTTTAATAAATGTATTTTAGATAAACTTCCGCTCGTCAGAAATTACGAATAAGATTTGATACACGTATTAAGGTATTTCATCAATTGAAACCTGAAAACGGTAATCTTATTATCGTTAACGAAGTGGCAGCTTCGGATCTGTCAGATATCCATTTCGAATAATTCAATACCCAGTACGATTTTATTATTCCCCCTGTATCAGCCGAACTACATTATCATCGCGTCCGTTCGCGATCGATCGGCTTCATAATCCCCTCGTATTACGCGAAATCACCGATAACGCTATAATTGTTTACATCCAACTGGTTGATTGAAATGCGAGAACGCATTTCGTTATACATAACGTTCTATTAAAATCAGTTGTTTCGAAATGGTTTCAAGAAAATTCTTAAAGCACATATGTATAATAAATCATGCAATAAATCTTAAAATAAGAACTAATACTGAATTGTTTCCTTAAAATTGCAGTAAAAGGAAAAAGAAACAATTTAATATAATAATATTAATTTTATAATAACCATTTATATTTGAATTTACCATCGCGAAAATCTGAGAAAATGAAATACACTTTGATAGAGTTAGTAAAAATTATGTTATTTCCGATACATCCTAAAATACAATAAATACGAAACGAGTGATCGATGTTGCGTTCACATGAAACTTGGACTTCCTGATCAGTCGGACAAGTAATTAAAAAACTATTATTAATTATATCCGACGGAGAAGTTTGTTTGAGCCGACGAGAAGCTCCGGCGCAGGAAGCCGGAGGAATCGGGTAACCGCGGATATTAGTTCTCGTTAACTAGCTGTCTGAGGAATTCGAAATTTATCGGAAAACGCGACGGGGGCTAGGGAGATCGCCGCCGTCCAGGGTAGCCCCGATAGTTTTCGTGTCCGGGGGATTCGTACACACATACGTACGCCATATACGAGTCGACGAGCTATACGCGGGTGGATGGAAGTCGGTCCCGGTGGAACTTCAAGTTCCGTCCAAGTTTAGCTCTCGGTCGTGTTATGTTATATGCACGTGCACGTTGCGCCGATGTAAACAGGAACAGCTTGCCGCATACTAAGCGGATGCGCATCATTGTTCACGATTCCGCTCCCATTGTACCTATCTACGTAGTTGTTCCTTTCATATGTAGACTTTAGCCCGGAGGATAAACGCTTAATAAACGTTATTAAAAACGACTTTGAAACAGTTCAGAGAAAGAACTTGCTACATGAAATCTAGTACATAAAAAAGTTTTAGATATAAGACTGTTTTTCTGATCACGCGATTCGACTTTTGTTTCAGGCGTTCAGCGGACACTTCACGTTCTCCACAATTCGGAGCAGCCAGCGTCCGCGTTTGCTATCTTGGAATCGGGCAATAAGATGGTTCCACTGATCGCCGATGGTCTCTTCGACTTGCTGCTGTATAAAATGTCCAGCATTTATACGAACAAAATGCAGAAGGTAGAGTCGAAGGGGCCTCGGTTCGAGATCGGCGATTTCTGCGTGAAACTTGGCAGCGTTACGATTAATCAGAACTTCAAAGGCGTCCTGGTCGAGGTAAGTCTAAATTAAACGGTTGGTCTTTATAGAAACTCATGTTCCTTTATTTATCTTTGTTAAATATAAAGATTTATAAAATCTATAAATCTGTAACCACATCGTCGTCATTGACTGCGAATTTATATGCGAACATTCATTAAAAAATAAAGTCTAGATTTCTTTTAGTCTTTGAAGATAATGAGATTCGTTTAACCATAGGCAAGTATATGTATTGGGAAGAAATTTAAAGTCGATTCTGTCGAAAACAGAACGTGAAATGAAAATACTTTATTGCATATTTTCGATTTATTTTCTCATGTTCAATCACTCTCGGATGTAAAGTCAATAAAGCTACTAGATAAAAATATTTTATTTCCCATATTAGGTACATTTTTACATTCATTCTCCACGTATCCAATTTTTGTATGAATACATAAAATCTGCAGGTTGTTACTCCTATCAATAAAATTTTCTCCCTTTTTTCCTTACGTCTGCATTAAAACTGTATCTTCGGTATTAAAATAGTTCTAATCTGAATGATTAAATAAATGGATAAAAGCGATATGGATCGTCCCGGGAAAACTAATTAGCCCCGGGATATAGCATAAACCGGAAGGCATCTGTTTCATTCTGTGGAACGCTTCCTCTAGAAGAGATAGAACTTTCGGCACAATCGGTTTGAATTAATAATCGCGGCAGATGTCTGGCCCCAGTGATTTTCGCGAAACTCGTTAGCGAGGAGGGTTCCCTGAGGAGGGACCGCGGCAGAGCTAATTAACTCCCGATTAAACTTGGTAACTGTGCAAAATAGCCTGCGCTACTTCCGGACGCCTTGCCGATCACGTGATGGCCGTGCAATATCGATTGACAGCTCGGCCCTACTCGACGCGATGCGACGCCACGCCACGCGAGATTTGTCGCTATGCACGCGTGCACGCATATAATTTTTATATAATAACTAATAAATACATAATATAATATTATTGTGTTCAATAAAATGTTTAGAGACGTCATTTAAAGAAAATTTCAAATAGAAATCTCTTTTAATGTTTAAACACTGCGACGTATAATTATTTACTTTTCATGTTTTGTGAATTCTTATGCATCGCATGTACTATTTATTTTTTTCGAATTAGGAAAATGCTGTGGAAAAATAGTATACCTCATGTTCTACAAGGGAAAAACGCTGTAAAGTAGGGCTCACGATCTGTTGGCCATTCGTATCGGTGTTTGAACCCTCCCAGGACGTCGAATACGTTACAATAAACCCTCAGTTCGCCCATTAATTTTACGGGAAAATACCGTCGCCGTTGGACCACAATAACTTACGTTCCTTCTTCCTACCACCCTTCCTCAAAGCTTCTCTTTTATACCTCGCGTTCCACACAAGAGAGATTATCGCCAACTATTTCCCATGAAAATAATACCGTCGTTGCAATATTTTCAAATTTTCTACACCCTTTCTTGAAAAATGTGTAGCTCACAAATAGCCTCTACATTCATAAAAAGAATTGTACAGAAAAAAGAATAGAATATAACATCATGAAACATATGAAGCATATAAAATATCAAAAGCTTTTTTTAATTTACAATATGACAAAGCTTTATTACAATAAAAAAAACTTTTATATAAAATGAATATTTTAAACTGATATCATGTTTTTAAAATCTGCAGTCCACTAATGAGCTCACTGCTTGTAAAAATTATATTTACTTTGCAATTAAAAACCAGAAGGATTTACTATTCGTTCAAAGATCTTCAAGATCAGATCTTCTACCTTGATCAGATCTACCCTGATAGCTGTTCCCTTCCCGGGCATAATCTCGATCAGTGAACGAAAGCGAACGCGAAGAAAAGAGAAACGGACAGCGAAAAGAAGCTCGATCAACTCTCGTTCCGACCGACCCCCCATTGAAACACGTTGCGTTGTTTCAATTAGTTATGGTATAGGAACGTAATAATCACAGTCCCCTCGTTTATCACTCTTTCTGTGACGTCATAATACCATTTACACGCCTTTCGCAACCCCAACAATGCATTACATCTGCAAAGTACTACTATTTAACGCTCGTTGTGGCAACTCTTACCCTTATTTATAATTCAATTAAATTAAACCTGTTAGTCGTAACTAGACTGCGGATTTCATGCATTTATAAAAAGATGAAATTTTCAGAAAATATAATGTATGGAATCTATAAAAATATATGAAATATTATCAATCGATGAATTTCTATTTTATTCCCATTTCTTAAATTGGAACCATAAATATTTTATGTTCTTTAAAGGAAATAAGAAAGGAAGAAATTCTTTGAAGAAACAAGAAATAATTTTCCTACCCCTCGGAAATAAATGTTAACTTTCGTCGTTCTTGTTTTTCTCTTGTTATAGGTGGAGTACAGACCTTGCGTTGTCCCCGGAAGTGCGTGGGAATTGATGCGCGAATTCTTACAAGGGTTCCTTGGGTCCACCGTATCCAATCAGGCCCCACAGTATTTACAGGTAACGAAGGTTCAACAGCAATGAAATAATAAACGAAAATAGGTAAGACTTATCCGAATTTATTATAATTTTACAGAATCGGATGAACGATATTTATCAACCATTGGACACGATACAGCAGTACTTAGAACATTTTGGTCAATATAGGAAAGCCACGGGTGTAATTTAAGTACTTTTATTTTATTTTTTTACGCCGATCATTTAAATCAATTTTATTTATTCCTGAGTATTCGTCGATCTCCTTGTTAATAAAGTTTAATAAAAAACATTTGTTTATTAATAACATAAAATTGTTTTTAATTGAGTTGATTTGTAACTTTTGCAAGTAATAAGCGAACTTTGGGAAATTCTTATTAAGAATCGTTATCGATGGAGGGAAGAGCCAGCAGATAGTAACATGGTGCAATTCCAGGAATGCCTGGGAATTGCACTACGTTACTATCTGTTGGCTCTTCCCTTCGTTACCCACTCGTACAAAACATAAATCTCGACAATCAATGTAATAAAAAAAAAACGAATCGAAATAAAATGAACTAAATTACTAATAAAAACCGATTACTTTTTTTAAAACTATTTTGGGTATACAGCTTGTTTAACCAACATCTTCAATTTCTTCAAATCCATCTGCCTGTCCCTCTCGAGTTCATTAAGAAGAAGTTTCACCCTGAAAACAAGTAAGTGCGTTTCGTTTTAAATCTTCACATCGAGAATCTGCATGGCAAATCAGTTTACCTGTCGAACCGATTGGCAACAGGCGGTGGTAACTTCTGTTGTCTGACACTCGTGTATACCTACAATCACTCGAATTGTAATATAGAACATATAAAGTAATTGTCACGCAACAAATTACCTGCAATGCTCGATCAATTACGTCCTGGTCCAGTCCTGCCATGTTCGCTACGTGATGCGCGAAGCTGTGATTCGAGCTGCCATTTATTAATCGGTAGAAGAAAACCATGGATTCGTCATCGCTGATCGTGTACTCGAATGTCTGTGAGTCGAGATTCGAATTAAACTCGATTCCGAGAGATCCTAAAGCGATCTTACCTGAATCTCGATGAGAGGTGTTTGCGGAAGTACTCGAATGACTTCATGGGCGTGTGTTGCGAAGAACGCGTGAGGACAATCGTCGCCTCTTTCGGCGAAAGTATCTATCACGGATGCGACCAACGCCACTCCACTACTTTCAGATGTTCCTCTATCTAGCTCGTCCGAAATCAGTAACGAGTTCGGCGTAGAGGCGCGTAGGATCACATTGATCTGAAACCAATGAATATCTTGCGTTTTCTACTTTGCTTTTCAATTTATGAAAGTTCGTATCTATTTGTAACATCGTGTCACCGACACGTGTATCATCATTGTGTAACTGAGTATAATTTTTTTATTTGAAGCACGATTTTATAGAAGCTCATAATTTATTATGTACAGAATGGACCACTATCTAATATGCTAATATGTTTTGAAAAAAGTAAATATCTTCTTTATTTGCGATGATAAGAAAAATTGAATCAATGTATCGAATGGTATCGATTAAATAAAAAAATTAAGAACAGAATCTTTTCAATTTATTTAATATATATGTAATACCTGTCTAAGATTTTGCAAGAACGAGCTCGCGTTCAATGCGATGCTTTCCGTGTTCGACATCTGAGTCAATATATGAGACACCATTCCTATCGTCGCGGACTTCGCGGGTATGTACGAGCCAATATGAGCCATAAAGACCGTCAGCCCAATCTGTTTCAAGTAAACGCTCTTTCCAGAAGAATTCGGCCCCGTTAGAACTTTGATCAAACTCTTCCCATTTCCGGAGCGAATATCGTTCGGCACGAAAGTGGTCGCGCATTCCATCAACGGGTGACGACCCTCGACCACGTCTATGATTTTCGCCTCCGTCAGCCGCGGTTTTACGTAATTGTAATCACGCGCTGCTTTCGAGAACGCCAGCAAACTGCAACACGCGACAACAGACGGTCCCACTCTGTGCACGAAATAAAATAGGAAACGGTTATCGTAATGTAGCACGTACGTGTCCAACTCGGCGCACAGTTGTATCATGCTCGAAATCGTTCCAGTATGCTTCTTTATGTACTGTACCAACTTCTTCATGATTTGATTTCGACGCACTGCTATTCTCAGTACAATATCGCCGATGGTCTCGTCCAGTTCTGAAATGAAATCAGATTTTATTACATTGCGGGTGTTTACCTATTCGTGAGAAATTTCACAATTAAGATCCACAATCTTAAGATTCGTCTTGTGTATCGTGTCGTGAAAAATCATGATTACTGATCGTGGACACCATCTTTAAAGTGGATAAGGCGAGTTTCGAAAATATTCACCTCTCGTGGTAGGAGTTTTATAGTAGTTCACGTTGCTGATGGTGAACTTGAATTCTAAATTCGGAAAAGTAGCGTCTTCGGGCGGAGTCACGTTCCATTTGTTTATCGCCAATACGTAGCCAATGTTCGGCAGATAAATCATTCTGCAATTGGTGACGAGAGGCGGAAGATACTCCCGCATGTCTTTCTCACCCATTCGCGTTAACAAGTCGGGCAATGTGCGTCGCACGTGATTCACTGGTAAACGAAGAACGCGTTATCTCTGCGATTTATTGGCAAACGAACGAGAAAAGAGTGTAACGCGTGTATACAAACGTTCGTCGAGCTGGGCATCGACGTTCTCTTTAACTACCAGATTCCCCTCCTTCCTGCTCTCGGCAAAATCTACTAAGTACTCGATGAAGTACTTGATGTGCTGGATCTCAGTCGTCAAGGTATCGGCGATGCGTTTAAACAATTCTATTTCTCCCGCGTGGTCCCCACATATGTCGGCGATGCAAATAAGGTTCGAGATGGTCTGAAAAGGAATGCGTCTTCCGTTTGTTGACAGAACGACGAGACAGCAATTTTATGTGCAATTACCTTTTCTAATTTAATCCAATTTGATACTTTCGCTTGAGGACCGGAACAACAGGCGAATATCGCATTGTTTAAACGACACACGTGTCTCAGATAGGCCGACAGGTTTTCGACGACACTGTGATTATCCAGATTTAAGAAAAAATCCAGTACTTTTAATCTTTGTTGAAGTACTGCAAGATTTCGCATTGGGTGATGCAACGTCTTCCTACGAATATTCACAAGACAAAGAGGAGTAATTATTTAGATTCTTATCGATAATTTCGTATACGGTCTTGTCTTTTACCATAGAAATTGCATTCCCGGTCTGGATTGACAGTAACGATTGAACAATGAATACAGGCTGACTCCTCGCGTTCTCGTGATCGTTTTACCGAATTTGAATAAGCTTGGGTGGTCTCTAGCTTGGACGATGTTCAATGCTTTATAACTATCTTCGTCCACCATAACTAAATCCTTACTTTATTTGGTAAAAAAAAATTGCATTAGAATTTATCGAAAACTCGCATATTGCTGATTCTATTAAAATGCAAGATATTGTAGTATGTCATTCTCCAGATTTTAAGGATGTATTGGCTATACAGTCAATCCCAAAAGTTTATGTACCTTAGAAACACGCATTCCCTATGATTAAAAAAAAAATCAGACGTTGGAAGA